AACAGTCCCGTGGAATATGATATTTGCAGATGATATTGTGATCCTTGCCGAATCTAAGGATGAAATGAAAGAAAGACTAGTGAGTTGAAATATCCTAGAAACGCACGGATTAAAAGTAAATAGAGAAAAGACGGAGTATATGGTGATAGGAGGAGATGAAACAGAGAGTATTGATATAAATGAATGGCAGATATCGGCAATTGAAAGCTGCAAATATTTGGGCTCCACTATACAAACAAACGGCACAATAGAAAAAGAGATAAAGAGTAAGATTAATCAAGGGTGGCTAAAGTGGAGATCTTTATCTGGAGTGCTATTTGATAAAAGAATCCCACACAAATTAAAGGGAAAAATTTACAGTTCCATAATACAACCAACTATTCTATATAGTTCGGAAACATGGCCAACCAAAGAATCAGACGAGAGAAGTCTACAAACCATGGAGATGAGAATGCTGAGGATGATTGCTGGGGTAACAAGAAAGGATAAAGTGCGCAGTACAAGAATACTAAGTAGTTTAAAGGTAGTGCCCATTAAGACTAAGTTAATGGTAAATAGACTTAGGTGGTATGGGCACACAATGAGAAGGCCTATGAACTACATAGGAAATAAAGTTAAGAGTTTGGAAGTGATGGGCAAACGTAAAAGAGGAAGGCCAAAACTTCAATCGGGCCATAAAGTTAGAGCCAATATAAAGAAGTATAAATTAGATAAAAGAGATTGTATTAATAACATAAAGTGGAGAGAGATGTTGAAGGAGCTTACCACCAGAAAAGGTGAAAGCTAAAGAGAAAAAAAAAATGCTTTTATATTAACGTATATACAAGAAATTTATTATATTTTATATAAACTAATAATAATATATTTCATATTTGTTCCAAGCATTTTTTTTTATTAAAATAAACCTCCTATCATGTAAAAATATGTTATGACAATAGGTAACCAGGCCGAAGGCCGGACAAAAGCGGGTCTGGGGGCGAAGCCCCCATAAATTTTTTAACCCCCCCCCCCCCCCCTTAGGAATATCTTGGCTACGCCTATGGAATGTTTTATAAATTATCTCAAATATTATATTGGCACAGTCATGGATGTAAATGTAAGTATTGTTATATATATATGTATTTTATTGTTATTTGGTCAAGTCATTTTTATCAAAATTAATATTGTTATTTTGTCAAATCATCTTTATCAAAATTAATATTGTTATTTTGTCAAGTCATTTTTATCAAAATTAATATTGTTATTTTAAAGAGTCAGCATTATCATAAAAAATATGGAGAAGATTATTAACAAATTTATATTTATTTTTAAAAAGTCCATAATATAAAAGCCCTAAAAAAAGTAAAATATTATTTTTATGATTTTTTTTTAAAATTGTTAATTAATTAATTTTTTTTCTTTTTGTGAAATTTACTTTTTTAATTTTCCCATTTATGATTTTGTGAAAATTATTTGATATTTTTTTTTACTTATGAAATAAAATAATGTTGTTGTATGTTTGTTTGTGAATTCATTGAAAGAAAATATTATAAACCCGAACCATGAAAAGTATGAATTTAATCTAATTAATAAAGTTTGAAAATATTTCAGTTATTAGAAAAGTATTTTTTGAGCCTCCTGAGATTGAAAGGGACTATTGACGCCACTGCCTATTACATATTCTTATGTTTAGTTTTGTTTTCTTTGGCCTTGTTTTGGTATAATGCGTTGTTTATTACTCTCTTTACTCTCACGACAATGATCATTTGTAAATAATTGAAACCTGATTCGAGATAGAGTGAACAAAAGATTGTTTACGGCGAAAGATATATATTTACAAGGATATTATAAGTTATCTTATTTTTAACTTGTATTACCTTTTTGATTTTAACGTTGTGATTCAATTAAGACGACGATTTGATTTTAATATAATAAAAGATCCATTTTTTCTTTTATTACTTTTGTATATGATGAAACCAATTGAAAGCTATGGGTTGCTACGTAGTGTAGCCGAAGCCGCGCCTGGCAACTAACTCCTGAATCCCCTATTGATTTTTCTCCTTATTAATTTCGTGAATGATGATTAACTTAATTTAAATTCACGAGTTTCTCCGTAGTGTGACCTTGGTCGCTAATGTTGTTAAACGCTGTTTTTAAATGGAGAACGCTATCGCTACCTCTGTTTACCAGAAAAAATAAAATTAATAATAAATGTGAGCAAAAGAGGACTGGTGATGCTATAACCTCGTGGGTTAATCTTTTCTAGCTACCTCATTTTTTATGGGGGCTTTGCCCCCATACTTCTATTTACCAGGCTTTGGCCCATTGATTAACCGGTATAGTTTTTATTATTTATTATTTCTTATATTTTTGTTTATAATGATAGGTTAAACACAATATTGTAGTTTTCACATCTTACTAAAAAAAAGATCATATCACTTCCTTTGTGTGTGACCATGCCTTTCCACCATTTGTCATCACCTTGTACTTTGTACCAAACAAAATCTCCTACATTAAAGGTTCTATTGCGTAGTAATGCAACGTTGATTTTGTTCTCCTTTACTTCCAACGGTTTTAATAAGTCCTATTCAGAGTTGTTAAAGGATCGAATCAAAAGATCGTCGATCCTGGATTCGATCCTAAATTTGTCAATTTTCTCGGATTTAAGATCCTGACCTTAAAATGTGGATCGTGATCGAGATCTTTTTTTAAATATTCGATCCCGATCCTTTTAAAAATTATTTTTTTACTTAAAAAGCAATAAATAAAATAAAAATTTTGAAAATTAATTTTAATATTATTTAAAAAAATATATCTCTCTACATCATATTTTATCAACCAGTATTCCACCAGATTTTATATTTCAACCATTTGCCAAATTTTTTGTAAGAACAAGTTATATTTATTAATTATATTATAATATAAATTCTAGGTTTTAATAATGTACTCCATTATAGATTTAGAAAATGATATATCTACTTCTATTGATGTGACAGCAATTTTTATTATTTGTGAAGATCATAACAATATGCATATAATAAAAATTATAGATTTCCTCACTATATGATGACAATAATATATTAGCATCAATAATTCACCCAAAATTTAAGCTCAATTGGCCTTTTATTAATCTGCCACAAATTGTTGCTAAAAGAAAGGTTAATTGCCCATTTAGAAAATATACTGGGTTAACCATATGCAGATCCTTCAAAGGAATGCATGGATCGATACCTTTTTTGGGAAAAACTTGTCACAAAATGCTCTTTCCGTTAATAATTTTTTTTATTCTAATGATGATTCAGTGAATATTTTTAATAATTATGTTAATTTAAAAAAAACATTTATTGAATATAACACACCTTTACTATCAAGCACTCCTGTAGAGCGCTTGTTTTGTAAAGCTAAACATGTACTTAATGAAAAACGTGGTTTAAATGATGATAATTTAGAAAAAACTTTATTATATTATTCAATTACAACAAATTAATTAAAGATTTTATCTGAACATTGTATATATAATCTATATACATATTATAATAATATGTTATTACAAGGTAAGTTATAATAATAGTGTTGATCGATTGATTTTTTATTTAACTTAAATTGTTTTTATAGCCATTACTATGTATTTCGTTTAAATTGTTTTTTTTATAATACTATATATATATATATATATACCTTATTTTATATTTATTTAGAAGTATCATTTTAGAATTATTATAAATTAATATCTCCACCGTTATCTTTCACCACTGTTATCGCCTATATAACAAATAGTAAAAAAAATATATAATATTAGTAAATCACAATTATATAAAGTCATTAATTCTTGCTATTTTTTGATTGAGATTCAAGTTCCCTTTTAGCGTTAACATTATAATAAGCAGCAAAATGGCCTAAGTCTATCCTATGGATAGTGTTCAATTAGAGGGTTTCGGATATTGAAAAAATAAAGCTGAGATAATTGTATAATTGTTTATGGCTAATCTTTGGCGTAGATAGAATCCCTCGTTAGGGTCCTCGTTCCGCAGAGATCCGTTTTCCCAGCTCTTTAAAGAAGGCCAGGGCATGAGAGCCGAACGACGTTAGAGTCGTGGCGATTAATGGTAGGAATGTAAAATTGGGGGGAAGAGATGGCGAATATTTATCTAGTTTATTCGCCTCGGCATCTAGTATGACATCTCTATTTATATTGGAAGGGGCAAGAGGATCGATGTATGAGAAATCCCAGGTTAGGAATTCCCCTTCTTCCAATGGATCATAGTCGAACCATCGGGCCCTTACCAACGGAATTGTAAAAGCCGGTAGGTTCGAGGGTTGATGGGATGCCGGCGGATTTTAATGCCCTGGCAATGGTATCATTGCATTTTGAATGCCTAATGAATCTGCCTCTACAGCACTTGCAGTGTAGAGAGTGACTGCCTTTGGAGTTGACCGACGTTTGACAGAGGATACAGTGATAAGGCATTACTATATCACAATTAACTCTAAGACCTATGGCGTGACTTAGTTCATCATTGTTTAGGAACTGGTCAAGGTTTCGCGATGGGAAAGCCTCAAGAAATTCGTATCCACTACCTACGGAAATGGAGAAGATTAGAGAATGGTCCTCTGGTTGGCTCCTCGATTTAAGGAATGCAACGGAGTTGCCAACTAGAGGTTTATCCCAATCCTTCTGTAGTGCCGACGATGGAGAATTGACTAATGATAGGGACTTCCATAGATCAATTGCCTATAGGAGTAAGGGGTCAGGATGTTTGGTGAGTGTTTGTATGATGGACTCGCAGGACAGGCGAGAGGATATGAACGCACTAACGGAAAGTATAGAAAGTTATCTTATGCCAATGCCGCCGGATTTGGTTGGTAAGGTAGCCTGTAACCATAATAATTCCACAAATTTAAGATTGAGTATATCTTCTGTAAGGCGTTTAATCTCCAGTTCGTGTGCAGCGAGGTTGACGTCATATTGAAAGATCCGTGTCTAATGCCTTTATATTAATTAAAAACATTCATATAGATATAACTATTATATAAAAAAAATTTTTATGTAAATATAACTTTTATATAAAATATTAGAATAAAGAATATAGTATATTTTGCACAAGAATTATAAAAACATTTATGTAAATATAACTATTATATAAAATATAAAATGAATAGAGTATATTTTGCACTGGAAATATAAATTTTTTTATGTAAATATAACTTTTATATAAAATATGAGAAAAAAATGAATATAGTTGCACTGGAATTATAAAAACATCTATGTAAATATAAGTTTTATATAAAATATTAAAATAAAATGAATATAATATATTTTGCACTGGAATTATAAAAACATTTATGTAAATATAACTATTATAAAATATTTAAATAAAATGAATATAGTATTATATTATGCACCGGACTAGAATGATATAAAAAACTATTAAATTAAATTTACATTATTAAAAAGGCGTATATAATTAGCTGTGAAAAAGATATAACTTATTTTATTAATAATTTAGTTAATCTTTTAGACGTAGATGCAAATCGCGTTATAATGTCGTCTATTTTAAATCTTTCAAAAACATCAATTTCGCTGGATATTAGAAGTAAATTTTCTAAAAAGGGGTCAGAAATTTTATTCCGCATTCTAGTTTTATTTATTTTGACTTTGCTCATCACTCTTTCGGCTGAACAAGAAGTAGTTGGTAGAGTCAATAAATATTTATATAATAAATATAAATTAGAATAAGAATTTAATTTATTTAAAAGACGATATGGTAGTATAAATGAATATTTTATCCATTTTTTTGTATTAATTATGTTATCGTTATTGATATCTTCCTCGGTTTCATCGTTTACAATACCTTTAATTATATATAATTTTAAATAAAATATCAATAAATTACTTTCATCAATATATAACCCATCATTCTTTTTTATTTTCAAAAGATCCTTGCAATAAATGATTGCTTGTGAATCCAAATATAAAGATCGAAAATCATTATATTCACGAGCAATATCTTGAGCATTTAATTGGTAAGTATGACAAATTTGAGATATTTGCCACCCTTCTATTCTATCATTGGCTATAATTCCAGCTGGTGTAAAAAGAGATATTTGAGATAAAAAATTTAAACAATCATAATTAAATCTTTCATTTAAAACATTAATGATTGTATCAAGCACAGGGAAAAATATTTCCCTTTTATATCTATAATGCTAAATAATAATTTTAAATCTTTTTTTATTCAACTTGTTTTTTTTTTGTTTAACATAATTATTGAATGCTGTTTGATCAAATTTGAATATTGATTTTATATTATGCAATTCCGTTGTAACATTATTCTTTTTCAAATAACTGTTAGATAAGGAATGCAATTTTAAAAAAATATTATCCCCATTAGCTACATTTTAAAATTATTTATAGAAATCGTAACTAATTTTAACCTCTTAGTCTTTGTAATTTATTTTTTGTGTGTTGTATTAATTTAGTTACCATAGCCAAATCATTACCAACTGCCTGCATTTCAATACAAGCCTCATGTGTGCATTTCAATATTTCTTTCAAAATAAATAGACTTAATATGAAATCTTCATCCTTAATTCTTGTTAATAATCCATCGGCAATAGAAGAGGTGCTTGGGTCATTAGAATCTTTTAATTCATTTAATGATGCTATAATATGTTCATAAACATCTAAAAAAATTTCTACAGCTTTATAAGATGATGACCAATTTCTAAAAAAAGATAAGTTACATTAAAAATATTATATTTACCTTGTTGTATTTTTTATTCTTTTAAGAGATTTTTTAGACTTTGTCATTTGATATTTAACAAACACTCCTTGACGTCTTACCCCATTCATGAAATTATATAACTCATCCAATATTCCCATTACCTTTTTCATTTCTATTTTGCATCCACAAACATGAGCAACTACTAAATTGAGCCTATGTGCATGGCACCAAATATATATGGCTTTTGGAGCCTCTTTCAATATTAAAGCCTGCATTCCTTTGTATACTCCTCTCATATTCCCTGCACCATCCATACTTTGCCCAACCATATAATCAAGAGGAAGACCAAGATCTTTGAACTTAGAAAAAACATGTTTCTTTATATTTTCCCCGGTGGTTTCTGATGTTGTAAAAACATGGATGATCCTTTCTACAGGATGTGGATGCGGATCATCTTCTATATATCTTACAAGTAAAGCAATGCATTCTTTTTTAGACACATCATATGTTCCATCTAATATGATGCTATAGGCACAATTCTCTTTAATTTTTTGAATAATACATTTTATTATTTTTATCTTAATGACTTCAATAATTTTTTTCACATGGCCATATGACAATAAATTTATATAAGGTCTTGAAATTTTATCTGATTTTTTTCTCCTCAATTTTTCGTTGTTATCAATGTATGCCCGTAAAGTTGGAACCGTTTTTGCCATTAATTTTATGAGGCACATAAAATTACCTTCATTCGAATTAGTGCCCCAAAAGGCTATGTTACATTTTATAAGGTATATAATGGCATCAATAATATTATGAACTATATTACGATTTTCCATTATTATATCAAGCCTATTTGATAGAAAATGATCTTGAATACGCTTATTTGCAAGCCAAGTCATGTTGGTGTATTCACAATCCTTATGAATAGAAGATGACTCATGTCTCTCTAAGTCACGCTTAAAATTTTTCCAATTATTTACTCCAAGTTGAGTCCAAAAAGTATTGGATTTAGGGCCACCAAACATAAGACAATAAAGACAAAAGACTTTGTCTAAAGTGGTGCTATAGGATAACCAATTTCTTGGTTTGAGGGAACCATCAATATTAACCTTTTTATAATAGGATATATTCATGCTCCTATTTAAAAGTAGAAATAATGGATGCGTAAAAATTAATAAAAATTAAATTTTTTAAAAACCTTTTGTGAGTAACAGGATATTGAAATATATTTGAACATGGCTGACATGGGCCTATGGAAATTATGAAATTAATCAAGATATTTGTCATTCTAAAGAATATGAAATGAAAAGGGTCATTAGGCTCCTTTTTTTTATATAATTGAATAATATTTGGGCCTTTAATGTTTGAAATATTTTGGCTTGCATTGGGATTGATAATTGGATGAAAAAAAGATATAATTGGGGAATTTTCAATAACTTTGTGTGTTTGCTAATTATTATTAAAGAGTGTATAGTTTTATTTAAATTAAATACCTCATCATTCAAAATCAGCAGATCACTGGAACTGGGCATTGTATGAGAAGATAATATAATTTGGGAATCTTCAGTAAAAGATTTGTGCTAATTATTAAATAAAGAATAATTAAAATTTGTTTATTCATGAAAATATCTGAATATCCTCATTTATTCCCTTCAAAATTATAAAAGAAATCTTATTTAAATTAAGTACCTCATTATTCAAAATCAGCAGATCACTGGAACTGGGCATTGTATGAGAAGATAATATAATTTGGGAATCTTCAATAAAAGATTCATGCTAATTATTAAATAAAGAGTGGTTAAAATTTGTTTACTTATGAAAATCTTAATTTTAATAAAAATTTTATTCTTAATTAAGATATAGAAAAGTGGAAAATATTTCATAATTTATTCACTTCAGAATTATCAAACAAATCTTATTTAAATTAAGTACCTCATCATTCAAAATCACCAGATCACTGGAACTGGGCATTGTATGAGATAATATAATTTGGGAATCTTCAGTAAAAGATTTGTGCTACTTATTAAATAAAGAATAATTAAAATTTGTTTATTCATGAAAATATCTGAATATCCTCATTTATTCCCTTCAAAATTATAAAAGAAATCTTATTTAAATTAAGTACCTCATTATTCAAAATCAGCAGATCACTGGAACTGGGCATTGTATGAGAAGATAATATAATTTGGGAATCTTCAATAAAAGATTCATGCTAATTATTAAATAAAGAGTGGTTAAAATTTGTTTACTTATGAAAATCTTAATTTTAATAAAAATTTTATTCTTAATTAAGATATAGAAAAGTGGAAAATATTTCATAATTTATTCACTTCAGAATTATCAAACAAATCTTATTTAAATTAAGTACCTCATCATTCAAAATCACCAGATCACTGGAACTGGGCATTGTATGAGATAATATAATTTGGGAATCTTCAGTAAAAGATTTGAGCTAATTATTAAATAAAGATTAATTAAAATTTGTTCATGAAAATATCTGAATATCCTCATTTATTCCCTTCAAAATTATAAAACAAATCTTATTTAAATTAAGTACCTCATTATTCAAAATCAGCAGATCACTGGAACTGGGCATTGTATGAGATAATATAATTTGGGAATCTTCAATAAAAGATTTGTGCTAATTATTAAATAAAGAGTAGTGAAAATTTTAGGCAAATGACTTATTTTATTCTTAATTATAATATATAAATTTTTTTTTAACAAAAGTTGAAATATTTAAATATTCTTATAATTTATTTCCTTCAAAATTGATAAAGGGCATAATAAAAATGTACCTATATATTAAAAATCTTATCTTTAATAAAAATTAAAAGTATTATGCTCAAATTATAGATGAAGAATTGGTTTCTACTAATTCACAAAATTTAAGGTTATTTTTACTTATATTTATTGTCATGAATTAAAATAATATATATAAAAAATTACTTTTTGGAAGTAAGATGTTATTGATTTTTTTTGTAACTTGGTTTCAACCCCATTTGTGATATTGAATGGAATATCTTTATTTAAGGATACCCAATTATTATCCTTTTTGATAGCTATCTTTGTAAATTTGATATCAGATAACTTGACATGAGGATGTTTATGTTTATAATGGTTATTTATTTTGTCACTTCTTATTTTAGAAGTTTTACAATTAATATAGTCACATTTGACTTTATATATTGTTTTGTTACTTGGCATCTAGAATAAAAATGAAATAAATATTTAGATAATATTTTTTTACTCACTGATGGCCATCAAGAATGATGGAGAATCATAATTTTATCCTTTATTTGACGGTGGATGGCTGAATCTTAAAATTCTCCTATCTTATGAGGTGTGATTCAGAAATTAAATTTATATTTGTTTAAATGAGGGTGTAATTTTAAAATTTTCCAGTGGTTTTACAAAATATATTAAAGAAATATATATTTAGATATTTTAATATATGTGCACAATAAATTTTTATTCATTTGTATTATATTTTTAATCTAAAAAATATATTAAAATCTTTTAAAATAAATTCTTATTCATTTGTATTTGTAATTTATAATCAAAAAAATATATTCTAGACCCTTATTGTTTTTAAATTAAAATTCATAAATATACACTCTATTAACATATTTTATAAAAATAATGAAAAATTTACTGATTCAATCATCATCATATAAAGGAAATTTATTATGCACCCATCATTGAATAAAGAAGAAAATTCTGATTACCAGTCATTCATAATGGACTATCAGCTATTAACTTATATTTTTGATAATGTTTTCTTAAAAGATTCCTATTATATTATATGTAAGCTTAATGCATGGTCACAAAAAATATAATATTTTTTGTTATTTATGCCAAAACAATCATGGATCAATATTTCCTCCATTATACACTTCACAATTGATTTCTTTATTTCTTAGTGTCCAACAATTTTTAGAAATGTATGATGCTTTGAAATCATAGTTTCTTTAAATTAACAATCCTAATAAATTTTGCAAATAATTGAAAACAGGCATATTTGTGATTTGCCCATTCATTTATCTTCAAATAAAGTCTGAGAAATGATATATTTTAATCATTGAAATTAGAGACCTTCACTGGCATTGATTTCTTCATCCAGCCTAGGTCATAAGTAAAAATAATTTTCAGGCCCAGTTCATGTTTAATGGAAATCCAAACCCAAACCACATCATAGGTTTCAAAGATTATTCCCAAGCCATATCCAAAAATTTAATTTATTGTTAACAAAAATAAACAATATTTCAGTATATGGAATCACTTTGTCAATTCATTTAATTGAAATCTTTTCTTAAATCAATAATCAAATGAGAGGAATAGATTATCTGTTCATTCTCCCAAGATTTCTATAAATATTTAGAAAAAAGGCCAAATATATTATGGAAAATTTGATGTTATATAAAATTTATCTAATAATGAAATAAAAAATTTATCAATTCTTTTAACAAATTTTTTATCACACAATGGTTTTCACCTCTCACTTATAATTTTGTATATAATTTACACTTACCTCAAAGAATCATTTATCATAAATAGAAATCAATTATGGGTCCAACCTGATTGCCTCACAAAAATGTGGTAATATTTACCCCATTGAAAATGATTATTTAAAAAATTATTAGCAAAAATAATTGCCATGGTTCAAAACCCAGATAACTTATTAAGTATACATATTAAGATTAAATAAAAATAGCTTCATTCTTTATTATATTTATTTATCTATCATCAAATTAAGGAAAATGCAATTATATGCTTAAAAAATTACCTTTTTAAAAGATCGGAGTGTATATAAAATTCTTGGAATTAGAAGGTAGTTTTTTAATAAGAAGAAAGCTTGGTGAGCTGGGAGGCGAGATAGTGTATCGCCCATAAAGGATATCTCTCGTAAAATATCGGCAAAGAACTTGATAAAGAACTCGACTTTACCTACTGGAGATCCGAGATGTGTTAAAGCGTTCAATGGTGTATGATTGAACATAGTATCGTGGTTAAAATCAATGATCCTAAGAGGACAATATTCGCTTTTATCTTGATTAACTCGAAGTCCCAAACTTTTCTCGCTGGATTTTATTGTTTGGATTGCCCACATAACTTCCGTCGGTGGGCCGCCTAGTATACCATCGGTCTACATGACAAGATTTTTACTGGATGCAAACCCCCTTCAAAAACCTTTGCATACCCTCCTAAAAAATCCCCGCCGCCTTCGGCGGCTGTGTCTCTTTATTATTAATTTCACCTATTTATTTATTGATTCTCTTTTCAAAGAATTTATAAAGGATAACTTAAATTAATCTATCTCTACTACCAACTATCGATATTTTGTTAATATAAAGAATTTATTATTTTAGATTATAAAGAATTTATTATATAGATTATAAAGAATTTATTATTTTAGATAATAAAGAATTTATTATTTTTTAGATAATAAAGAATTTATTATTTTAGATAATAAAGAATTATTATTTTAGATAATAAAGAATTTATTATTTTAGATAATAAAGAATTTATTATTTTAGATAATAAATTCAATTAAAACCTCCATTATTTACAATGAATTAATTATTATGGCATTATGAGCTTGCTGATATATCGAAACCTTTTAAATTACATTTAAAAGGATAGTTTATTTGGAAAACAATGTGTATGATTGTTTGCAATATATAGATTTGGTCGATGAATTGTATTTTAATAATACTATAATAAAAGTATTAATTTTTACAGCATTAAATTTTGTCCTATTTCATCTCAAAATTTAATAGATAACTCGCCAAAAAATTTATCCTACCCCCATTAAAGCAGCCTACCCCCTTCCCCTTAAAAAAATAGGATGCAAACTGTTCCTACCCCTCCCGCTCATGTAGACGCTGACCATCATCGATATACCAGTTATGAAGATTTAGCTTTCATTGGTCATTAATGTCTCGTATTAGACTATTAATGCCCAGACAGAACAAAAAGGAACCTAGAGGGTCACCTTGTTGTATCCCATCTGTTGTAGTTTTGTAGTTTTGTAGTTTTGTTATATATTTATATATATATATTATATGTGAAATGTCAATATTATGATATGTATGAAATGTCAATCAAAAGTGATTTTTTGAAGGAGTTGGGTTGTTGTTAAAATCAGATGATCTTTTGTTCAATAGTTTATACTTAATAAGTTTATATTATGATTATGATTGTAAGATTAATATAATTAATGTGAATAAAATAAATTTTTATGATGCATATATTTGTTTGTATATTTTAAAGTATGTGTTAGTTGTTTATAATTATAGATGTATAAAACCATCGCTTATTTATTTTTTATAATATTAGTTAATTTTGCATCGATCAGAAATCTAAGAAAAGGATCGTGATCGTGATCGCTATCCTTTTTTAAAAAAATGTCGATCCTGGATTTCGATCCTCTTTTTTCAAAAGATCGTGATCGGGATTCGATCTTTTTAAAAGGATCTATTAACAAGCCTGGTCCCATTTAACCCTAATATCACGATTGAACATTCTCTTGGAAGGTGTGACTCTTGTAGTATCATTACGCGTGTTTCTATAATTAATAAAAATTTGTGATGCGGTATCTAAGTCAATTTTGGTAATCCTTTTCATATGTGTTTTGAACGTTCTCACCATACGTTCTACCTGGCTCTTGGATTGCTGGTGGTACGCGGACGTGAGTACATGTTTACCATAATTATTGCAAAATTTTTCAAAATCATTACTTGTGAAGTTAGTGCCGTTATCAGTATCTATAGTTTCAGGTATTCCATATAGCAAAATAGTTCTGAACATTTCTTTTAAAGTGATCGGTCTTTATATTTTTAACAGGAACAATTGAAAATTTGCTATAGGCATCGATTATTATTAACCAATTTTTTGTGAAAAACGGACCCGCATAATCTATGTGTATCCTTTCAAATGGCTTGGTTGCCGAAACCCATGGTTATCTTTTTAGGATTGTCATGATATATGTTACAATCGACACAGCTTTTCACATCCATGTTTATGTCGTTATTTATATTAGACCCCCACATATAATCTTTGGCTAAGGATTTGATTTTTCCTGCTCCCAAATGACCTTATGTAATGACTGTCAGTGACCCCTACAACGGGGGGGGGGGTCCGAAGCAGCTGCTTCTATAAATTTCTATGGGGACTTTTTTCTTTTTAAAAAAAATTTTTTTATTATTTTTTTAAAAATTTTTATGGTCGATGTTTAGCAAATTAGTTTGTTATCCGATATTTCTTATCATAAAATTATTTTTCCACTTTCAAGATTTGGCGCAAAATTAAAATTTTATCAAAGGGAATAATAAAAATTTAAAATTTAAATCTTATATATAATCATTTATAATTTTTAAATCATTGTCAAAATATGCCCAAAAATATTAACCAAAAAAAATATAAATGCTTATCTCGCAATCAAGCCTTCTGGGGGAACAGGCATCAAGATGGCAATATGATGAGCCTTATTAAACTTATTGCAGATAAAATGTATATACAAGATAATGAAGAAAGAAGAAGTGAGAAAAAATTAAGGGATTAAAATCTAAATTATATTCAAATCTGTTATCATATAATAACATAAATATTCTTATTGAAACCATGAAAAATATGGTTATAAAAAAAATTCAAAAGGAGATTGAATTTAACAGGTGCTATTCAATTATAGTTGATGGCACATTGATGTATCGAAATCAGAAGCAATAGCTTTGATAGTGAGATATGTTGAAAATAGCGAGACACCTAAGCCCGTTGAAAGGCTGATAGACATTTATTGTACGGGAAATACAACGGGCCTCGATATTAAAAAGAATATAATATCCAAGCTTGGCTCCATGAATCTACCCCTCGAATTCCTAGTGGGGCAAAGCTATGATGGCGCCTCAAACATGAGTGGAAGAATTAATGGAGTGCAGGCTTTGATTAGAGCGGAGGCGCCAAAGGCAGCTTTTATTTGGTGCTATTGTCATCGATTAAATTTAATAGTTGTTCAATTATGCCAATCAGTAAAAGAGCTGTGAAATGTCTTGGGAATATTAGACGAAATTTACGTATATTTTAATGGTGTTAAAAGATAAGAAGTGTCCAAAACATGTCAGAGTGTTTTACTGAATCACATAGATTTTTACGCATCAAGAATACCACTCGGTAATATTATCTTAATTGTTTCGATATATAATGTTTATTTTATATTTATAGAAGCTGGCTAACATCATATAAGGCGATTGTAAATTTTTTTCTACTTTATGATGCTTTGAGGGCAGCTTTGGCAAATTTAAAGGATTCTGAAGATCCTGCCACTTCCACTATGGCTAGTGCTATAGTCTATAGAATAGAAAAATTTTATTTTATTTTATCACTATGTGTTTTGGATAAAATATTGTTGATAACAAGCTTGGCTTGTACAAAATTGCAAACCATTTCGAAGGATATAGGGTTTGCAATAAATCAAATTCAATTGGCAAAAGATTGCCTGATTAATATGAGAAGTATAATTTAAATTATTATCTTTTATTATTTTATAATCCTAAAATAGATAATAACACTGAATTTTTGGATGTCTTTTCAAAGGCCCAAGATTTTATGAAGAAGAGAAATTTACCTTTTGATTTTGAAAGTTCAAGACTTCAAACATTACAAACCAAAAAGGAGAGGTATATATATACTTTCATCATTAAATATAATATTTTATTTTAGCTTTAAAATCAGTGTGTTTTATGCTGCACTTGATTTAATTATTATGCAGTTTAGTGAAAGATTTAACGATGAATCGATAAAATTTTTGAGTCAAACATCATTTTTTACCCCAAAGGGAATGGCGGAAAAGGCAATTGTTAAAGATGATATCAAGGATATCTGTGAATTTTATCAATTAAATACAAGTCAAGTTTTTGAGGAAATGTTGATGTTTAGAAATACTTATAAAATGGCTAAAACGGGGGACGTAATTATTACTCGTGACCTAGAGGTTAAAGAAGATTTGTCAGATTCTGAGAATTGTAAATTTATTTAATTAAAATATTTTTACTAATACATTATTTAGCTTCTTCTGATGATGATAATAATTCTGAGATGAATGATTCAGACTGGAGAAACTATTCATTTATTTTACCTTATCAACTTATAAATTTTTCTGCTTTCCCAAATTTAACAATTTTATATAAATATTTATTAACTATTCCTACTACATCATGTACTGCCGAAAGGGTCATGAGTAAAATTAAACTAATTAAAACAATACTTCGTAGTGTCATGAAAGATCCATTTCTTAATAATTTAACCATTTTATCAATGGAAAATAATTTATTTAAACAATTAAATATTGATGAAATTATAAATTCTTTTGCTTTCTCTTCCCCTAATTTATCTAAATTATTAATTTAAAAATAATATTTTTAAAGCATATATTTTTTACATTATATTTATATTATAAAAAATATTGATGCAATAAAAATTATTTTTGAAATTTATTGGTGACAAAAAATAATTTACAATGGGGGGGGGGGTACTTTAGGGGGGTATTCTGCTTCTATCCCTCAAAAAGTGTAGGGGTCACTGATGACTGTTGTACATTTTTTCTCATAAAAGACGGAATTATGATTTTGTTGCTTTTGTAAAGACAATCCTTAATTATACTCAATTCCAATTCAATATTCTTATAGATATTGTTCTTTATAGGCACGTTGTTCTTAATATCATTGATGACTTGTTTTAATTCAAT